ACTGTTTCAAAAGTTCAACAGATTTTTAGGTAAAAGGAATTTTACTGAGTTACTGTGATTGTGGAAGAGTGTTGAGCTGTTCTCTGGAAGAATATAATCACAGTCTTTCATATTAACTAACAATTATTAAAGCATAGACACCTAAATAAAAACAGTTATTTGTGATCCTGTTTTTATCTATTTGAACATTTTAACCTCTGAGGAAACTGAAAAGTATGATGTGTGTGTGGAGCCCAGAAACACAACTGACGCTTGTTCGGCTGCATAAAGTGTCCTTGTTCAGTTTCACACCAACAGAGAAACAACGTCCTTCCTGACTCTTCTGTCTCCTTGAAAAAATATTTCACATTTTTCTAGTTAAAAACATTTTTTTATTTGTCCTCTGAACTTGTTTTTTTTTGTAAAATAAATACAGCCATGCTACAGCGATGTCCGATCGTGGTCACCTGACCCACACACACACATCGCTGGCCCATGTTGAAGACAGGGATCGTGTCAGAGCAGCAGCTAACCTGTGTTTTGTTTCTCTTGCTAAGTAGATGACCTCCCTTTTTCTCTACACACTATTGTTACTGAACAGAGCTGCTGTGCCTGTTGTGCGGCTGCTTTGTGCTCCGTATTGTTTGTTAATGAGAGAAGAGAATGTTCACCTGCTCACCTGACTAACACACACACATCAGTAACCACTGGTAATCTTCTCAGAAAGGTGAGCACACGTGACTACAGGTGTGTGCATATGTATGTGAGCAATGGTGTGGACATCCATCACAGAAAGTCCATGTGTCAGCAGGTGGATGATGAACATCATCGCTGTGTGTTTATGTCAAATTTAGACGCCATTGCTTCCTTTAGCTACCCTGCACACATTTCCACATTGAGGGGAATTTGGGATATAACCAACACGACTATTTCAACTTTTCTTCTTTTGCACATCAACAAAACAAAGACAGAATCTTCATTTCCTCAGGGTGGATTGTTTTTAGGCAAACGGAGGAAAAGACAGCTAATAGAGTCATAAATCCATTATAGAGATTGCACATGAATAAACTTGTTGTGCATGTTTGGCTGGAAGATTTCTGCTGTGCACTGACACTGATGCCTGACAGGTTAAATGAAGCACAAAGTCACACATGCTCGTGAGATTAACCTAAATTAACCTAAAGTAGTGAAAAAACCGACATGGAAGAATCGACTGTGCTCTGTTCTTTAAAAACCCAACATAATTAGTCTATAAACAGGTGGCTAGAACAAACCGTTCAGGTCGTACTTGTAATGTTTCGCATTTGTTCTTATTTCTGATCTCTGCAATGCTTCCCCTCCGTTTGCAGGCAGAATGAGGTGCTGTGGCGGGAGGTGGTGTCACTGAGACAGAACCACACGCAGCAACAGAAAGTCATGAACAAGGTCAGTCT